TTTGATGACTTCCAATTTTCCCTAGATTTGTACTACATACATTTCACTTTCCAATTATTAATGGATGTTTGCAGCCCCCCCCCCCCATTCTCATTTTGAGTCATGTCTCATCAGCAAATGTAGGTCCAGGATCAAAGACTTTTAGCCATAAGCGTGTAAACAGAAAATTGATTGAATTATTTATTCTTGAGTAGGAAATACTTAGGGTAGTTTTATAAAATTGCTAAGTAGATGATTTTGGCAGCGCATTAGCTTGGAATTGTGTGTTGATTTTGGAAATTTACATATTAAAGATGGCCAGGTCAATCCGATCGCTGAAGACAAACGGTGCATAAGCAAATGTGGTGAAGAAAACTGATGGTGCCCACCTATCCAAAGATAAAGCATCTGGAGTCTTAAAGGTTTGAAGGTAAACAAGCAGCCATCTAGCTCAGAAACAACAAAGCCCACATGGAAGAATTTCACCAGCCTGTGTGATCATCAGGTGTCGAAGGGATCAGGTATCATCAGAACCAAAAATCATATCATTGTGAATGAGGGGGAGTGAGGAGTGGAGACCAAAAGCCCATCTGTAGGCAATTGGACATCCCCTTATGGAAGGGTCACGGGGCAGAGATGAGCCAGTCAGGGTGCAATGTAGCAACAATGAGACATACAACTTTCCTCTAGTTCCTAAATGCTTCCTCCACCCCCCACTAATGATCCCAATTCTACCTTACAAATCTGGCTAGACCAGAGTATGTACACTGGTACAGATAGGAACTGAAAACAAAGGGAATCCAGGGCGGATGAACCCTTCAGGAACAGTGGTGTGAGTGGGGATACTGGGAGGGTGGAGGGAGGGTGGTGTGGAAAGGGGGAACCGATTACAAGGACCTACATATAACCTTCTCCCTGAGGGACGGACAACAGAAAAGTGGGTAAAGGGAGACGTCGGACAGTGTAAGATATGACAAAATAATAATTTATAAATTATTAAGGGTTCATGAGGGATTGGGGAGGAGGAAAAATGAGGAGCTGATGCCTAGGGCTTAAGTGGAGAGCAAATGTTTTGAGAATGATGAGGGCAATGAATGTACAAATGTGCTTTACACAATTGATGTATGCATGGATGAATGAAGAGTATGTGCCCCTAATAAAATGATCTTTTTAAAAGCATTAAAAAAAAAAAAGATGGCCAGGTCACACACAGAGCTATGTTGCTATAATTTCCAATGACATTTTATTTTTTTCCTCTGTTTACTTCTTTTTGACAAGTTTATTTCCTCCTGGCTTTGCTTCTTATGGGAGAAAGCCTGGGCTTTCCACTCTCCTAAGCAGTTAGTCTCAGAAACCGACAGGGGTTGCTGAGTCAACATTGACTTGATGGCAGTGAATTTGGTTTGCTATTGCTTTTTATATACGTTTGATGTCAGGGCAAGTGATGCGGTCTTAATGCTGGCCCCTGATAACAATTTTTGTCTTTGATTCGGCTACTGGAAAAGGATGAAGGAAAGCTCATGGAATTTTGCAGGATGGACTGCCAAGTCTTAGAAGTTTTTAAGTAGCATCAGGGAGTATATTAAAAAAGTGAGTGCGCATGTTCAACCTTGGCTAGAACTGCAGAGTAGTTTCTCTGCAGATGGAGTCATGTAGAAGTGAATAAACATATGCATCACATAGATTCATATGGGAGGTGGTCCAATTACAAACATTGTCAAACATATATTTGCTGCTGTTGTTAGGTGCTGTTGAGTTAGTTCCAATGTACAGCAAACTCCATGCACAACAAAATGAAACATTCCTTTCACCTGTGGTCATTCTCACAATTTTGGGGTTCAGTCCATTATTGGAACCAGCCAGTCCATTTCTTTGAGGATCTTCCTCTCTTTATGCTGACCCTCTACTTTCCTAAGCATGATGCCCTTTCTCTCCTGATAACATATGCAAAGTTTATGGGAGGAAGTTTTGCTGCCTTTGCTTCTAAGGAGCATTCAGCACGAACTTTTCCCAAGACAAACCTGTTCTTCTGGCAGATCTGTCTAGTGCAATATGCTGCTCGGGTTCCTCACTGAGCTTCCATGTGTATTATTGATTGTGGATCCAAGTAAAATCCTTGAAAACGTCAATCTTTTCCCCATTTATTTTGATGTTGCTTTTGACCATTTCGAGGATTTCTTGTTTTCTTGACATTAAGATGCAATCTGTACTGAAGGCTGGGGCCTGGTCATCATCAGCAAGTGCCTCGTCTTCCTTGTTTTCAGCAAACAAGGTTGTGTCATATGTGTATCGCAAGTTGTGAAGTCTTCCTCCATTCTCAATTTATTTGCTTAGCATAGAGATAGAGTAAGTTTGGTGGATACAAATCGGAAGTACACATTTCCTGATTTTCAATCATTAATATCCCCTTAATCAAATATTATACACATACCCACAAAGGAGCTCCAAAGTTCATGGAAAAATGGAATTAAAAGATAATTTTCCCCCAGAAATTTTTGAAGCCCCTTGTGTGTATGTATATATGTATGTATGTGAAAGCTGGGAAGAAATAAAAAGGATCAATAGTTGAAAAACATGACATTGGTAACAAATGACGTGTTTGTATGATACAATTTTGTAAGACCAGTGACTTACTGATTGTTTTTTCAATAACATATATGGAGACCATATATGCAAACCTCACTGCACAGAATACAGTATTAAAATGACTAATATCTGTGGAAAGGGGTAATAGAGCAGTTTAATATGTTAGATCAAGATCAGGAGGCAACTGGGAAATAGAACATCAATTACTCATATGTAAGTTCAAGATGAAGAGGAAAATTAAAACAAGTCCATGAGAACCAAAGCATGACTTTGAGTACCTGCCATCTAAATCTTGAGATCAAACTGAACAATGAGTAAAGTCGAGTTGTGGGATAACACCAAGCTCATACTTGAAGAAAGCAACACAGGTCATTATCAAGAAAGGGAAGACCAAAATGGATGGCAGAGACTGGGAAAAGCAGATGGAAGAAATGAAGTAACAGTTGAACAAATGATGTCAGCAGGCAGGAGGCTCAAGAAGACTGGAGTATTACAGTGAAATGGTCAAAGGCAGGGAGTTAGAAAATCAGAAGGGAACTCACCTAACATTTCTTCAGCTTAAAGAACTTATAAAGTAAGTAAAGCCTTGTGTTTCACTATTGAAGGATTTTACGCCAAAAAATCCAATGGAATCGTCATTGTGCCAAAAAGAATTGTTCAATGTTGACCCATTCCAGGTGGTAGCTAGCTACCAGTTGATGCAAGAACACACTTAAACATGTCATGTGGAGGTCAACCTGTGCATGCATGAACTGGAACTCTAGTAACAATACTTAGTGATTTACCCTTGTGTTACTGGTTACCCGGGGTGGGTAAAAAGGAATTTTTACTTCGCAGCAATTGTTTGGTAATGGTGGTGCAAAGATTTTGGAAGAGTACTGAAAATGTTTGTATAACCTGAAGTGTAAGTGGATTGCGTATGTAAACATTTAACTGTTATAGTTTTGTATGCATATTTTTACCAAAATAAAAATGACTTAATTTTAAAATGCCATTAAGAACCAACACAACCTTGAGGGTATGGTTACTCGCGAATCCTGTTACCACTTAGTAAGCGGTTAAAAACATTTTTGATCAGCACAGAATTGCTTAAAATGGAAAGTAATGGAGGTGAGATTGTGAAACAGATTCTGTATCGAAAGGCCTATGGCAAAGGGGGTGATTGTCACTTCCTCTCAAACTGATGCCATATACTTCAGTGAAAAAGGAATCATTCATTTCAAAGGTGGATGGGGCAACAAAACCCATGATTTCATCTCCTATGCTCCGAGCCTTGCTTACGTGAGAAAACTTGACTGAAGGATTTTAATGTTTTCACTGACGGCTCTTGGTTATTTGCTTAGGTGTAAAGTTCTGGTGCTTCATAAAATTAAAGTAGATTTAAACAAATATCTCTTGTATTTAGCAATTAAACAAGCCAAATATGACAGGAAATCAAGGCTATATATAATTAAGTCACAGCCCTAGTTACTTCTTGTATTAATAAGCATGTTAATAAGCATGAGAAAACCATTTTTGAATTATCACTAATAAACCAAAGGATTGTTTTCTGACTTGATTCTGGGGACCTATTTGTTGGTCTAATTTGAAATAGAAATCTCTAAAATTCACGTTTTATATAAAAGTTTAGACCACATAGGGGTAATATCCAGTGCTGTCCAATTGATTTTGACTCATCCTAATTCCCCATGGGTTTTCCTAGGCTATTGTCTTTATAGATTGAACTGATTGCCACATCTATCTGCCACAGGGTGGCTGGTGGGATTAAACTGCTGATCTTTTAGTTAACAGCCATGTGCTTAATCTAGTGGTTCTCAACCTTCCTAATGATGCAACTCTTTAATGCAGTTCCTTATGTTGTGGTGAGCCCCCCCCAACCATAAAATTATTTTTGTTGCTACTTCCTATCTGTAATTTTGTTATGAATCGCAATGTAAATATGATATACAGGATGTATTTTCATTGTTACAAATTGAACATAATTAAAGCATAGTGATTCATCACAAAACAATATGTAATTATATATTGTGAAATATTTATTTCTAATTACAAGTAAATGAAATTTTGTCTTGAAGCACGGTGTAGTCTGGCGAAGTCTTCATGCCGGGTACTTGTATGTGGACGTATCTGTATGTGGGCAAACCTACCTGGAGATGAATAGCGGTGTCTTGGTTCCTAAGACCATTGGAAATATGTGTTTTCTGATGGTCTTAGGTGACCCCCTGTGAAAGGGTTGTTCGACCCCAAAAGGGGTCGTGACCCACAGGTTGAGAATTTCTGGCTTACCCAGTATCATATGAGCTTCTTAAATAGTAGTAAAGAGAAAGGAAAACCAAATACCTTAAGGTCTAATTCTTTAATATATCAAGTAGCAAAAGACAATATTAGTATTTTATTTGTAACAACTATTTAAAAGATATTTACAACTTCTTTATTGGCAAATACATTTGTACATAAAAGTACTTTTGGAAAGGAAAATCATATTTAGGATTAAAATAATGTACACAAACATAATAAAATACACTTTGGGCCATAATGACATCATTTCTAAATTTTCCTTACAAAAATTGGTAATTTAAATATCATTTTCTAAAATGTCCTTAAAGATTGCTCACTTAGATTTAAAGAATAGCAAACATTTTAGAAAGTCAAAATATACCCATCTATAAAAATGTTGTTTGCTTAGAACACAGAAGAGATTCATTTTCTGGTGACTGACAGGTTTTCAGATGGTCTTCTTTCCAAGATTTTACATCTCTGAAAACTGACAATAAACACTTTAAAAATCATTCTATTAATTTCATTTTCTTGATTTTGACGTGATTTATCTTAGATTTCCTTTTGAAATGCTTCTTCCAAATCTTCTAACCAAGCTTGAATTTATTTTATGGGTTCTTTTTGTATATTCTAGAAAAAAAAACAAAGGTACATATATATGACGATAGTATAATTCAAAATGAATTTTCATTATTTATTTAACATATTAAAATTTGTTGAAAAACTTAATCCTACAAAACGAATTTATTCTTGAATTTAAAAGTAACAACAACAAAAAATCACTGTCTGCTGTACAAGCACTGTGCCAAGTTCAGCTTCCACACTGCAAACTAGTTTCAGTTCTTATATACCCCATACACATAGCCAGTGAAGTCAATCAATAAACTAAACTATAGCTTTCAGGCCTCCTGACTACTGAAAGAGTATTTACAGAAACATTTGTTCCTTTTCTTTCATAATCAATTTTTTTATTCATCAGAGCTTTTCCCCAAAGATTTTAAACTTATATAATTTCTTAAAATTTGAAGTACCGTTTAAATCTACTATTTCAAGTGATGCTCCTTATCCCATAACACCTTTTTTCTTTTCTCACCTTTTTATTTTCATGGCTACCTCCCAAATGTGTTCTATCTATTCTTCCGAATCTTCATCAACCTTCATAACGATTTTTTTACTCAAGAAAATAGGGTGCCAACCTACTAGATTAGTGTAACATAAGGGCCAGCACATCGCAGCTCGAGAGCCTTACGTGGCTCTTTTGGAATGTACACAGGGATCGGAAGCAAATAAAAATTTTTAATTGTTTTGAGGGACATGATTAGCTCTTCCACCTCAAAAGTTTGCCGACCTCTGGTCCAACCTTTTACCTACTTTTTTTGGTCACAGGTTTTAATTTTAAAGACATTTATTCTCTTGACATTATTATTTCTCTAAATGCTCACTAAGATAAATCACCTTCTTTTCAGTTGACGGTGGTGTTGTTTTAATTCTACACTGTCAGAGAGAGAACTCAGTTGAATATATTCTAAGGATAACAGTGCTAATTGTCCTACTTTTGAAAATAATTCGTGATAGGTTTTATGGTATTTTCATCTGCGTATCTATGTACACAATATATTGTCTTTTCTAACAATCTAGCACCTCTAAGTCCTCTATTATCTCTTCAGGTAATCTTTTAACCTAGTGTTAACTTTTTTATGTTAACGCAAGGTAATGCTTGTAGCCTTTCCAATGCTTTTAAAGCTATACATGCAGCGGGTGAGTAGAGGGGATTATTTCAGAGGGAGAGGGAATTTACTCAAACACGACAACCACAGAACCCACAATCTGGAGGCCCTGCACTGTACTGCCAGTAACCTAATCACACTCATCAGTCTCGACTGGGCTCACTGTACTTTGTCGGGGTGTCCCGTTCCAGGATTCTGAGCACGAATTTTTCCCATTCTGGGGACTGTGACGAATCATCCAAATGGTAAAATACTCTGGGGTCTATTCTTGCTTTGCTTTGGTGAACATGATAGTGGCAGTTCAAAGGCCTGCACTGTAGGGTAAGTGGGAGTTGCCTGTAACTTGGACATGTGTAAACTGGAACTACCTGGAATTTATACTATGAAATCAACATGAGGTGAAAGTTTCCACAAATTAATTATTTTGCTACAGAATTATAAATTTTCTATCAACATTTCAGGATAATAAGGGGATAGTACAGTAACTAATTATATTCATTAAACCAAACTCACTGTCACTGAGTCAATTCTGACTCATGGTGACCCCATTATACGACAGGGTAGAACTGCCCTTTTGGTTCCCAAGACTGTAACTCTTACAACAGGAGTAGAAAGCCTTGTCTTTCTCCCACAGAGGGGCTGGTGGTTTCAAACGGCTGATCTTGTGGTTAGTAGGCCAATATGTAACCATTATATCACCAAGGCTCCTCACAGACAGATAATTACTAAATATTTAATATGGCATGCCACACCAAATAATTTCTGTAAATTTACTTTTCCTAGTGCTTATTTGATATTATTTGATTTCTTAATTTGTATGAAAGCTATTTCCATTGAACTCAAATAAAAATATAATTTGGAGTACAGTTACTGAAATGTGATAATTATGCTAATGAAATTCTATTGACAGAAACAAAAGTAACACATTTCCTTTTAGAAATACTTATTACTTTAAAGTTCCACTGGAAAAAAAATTCCTCCCCCCAAAGGACACTCATGTTAAATTTCTATGTGTCTGAGATAATGTAGCTAGCCTTAGTATATTTTTTAACTTGCCGGTAGAAGTTACAATATAGTGGTGCTTAGGTAAAGAAACTGGAACCTCTGAGTAATTGCACAAATGAGCCAGAATGCCAATTATTAAGAATTATAGGAGAGAAAAAAATTTCAATTTAACATAGCGTACTGCCGAAACATACTTAATGACTAACCTTATTTTAAATGATACATATATCTAATTATTCAATTATTCACCACTTCTACTACGAGACAGTAAATATGGGGGCTTTAAAGAGTGTGTGCAAAAATGAAATGAAAAGATACTGGGAGTTTTCCATAAAATGGTTGAAGCTCCTTTGTAGGATAATAAAAAGGGTCTAGAAAACGAAGCTGGGAGATCCAGTTCTGAGCTACGGTCAGAACATAAAATACTGGCGTGATCTTGGAAATGATTTACATTTTGTAGCTAAAGTTCCTTTATGTGTTTAAGTAACTTGTGGATACTAACACTTGTTCTACTATATAATAAAGAAGTTGAGTATAACGAGTAGGTCATAAAAGAAGATGCTTTTGGAAAACATAGTACTATATAGATGTTAAACTGTCTATTTATTAAATATCAAAGTAAGATCTGAGAAATACCCATTGTTGCTTTATTCTCTTGTAAGTGCTTATCACTTGAACTGTCTTGTCGGACACGCTTGGCAAGTCCCGAATTTACTGAAGCGGTTAAAGAAGTATTTGACTCAGAGCTGGAAGGGAAAAAATAGTTATTTGAACAAAGCATATTAAAAAAAAACCATTTCAGTTAGACCTTGCAACAAAAATTAATTTAAGAAAATACAAAAAGCATATAAAATATGTGTAATGCCACCAGGGCTCCGAGAACACACATATGCAAATATATAAAATCTACCCGTGTATGAATCTATTATTTATTCAACCTAGGCATTATGATTATAGAGGTTATGTTAGCAATTCTGCAGCAGAACATTTCCAAAGTGCACTGCTGGACTATAATTAGCTCTGTTATTCACAGTATAGAAATAAATAGCACACTCACAAGAGGTGAACAATCAAACAGGTTATAAATCTGGAATATGTACCCTAATCTAGGAGATATACAGTGTGGTTGCTTTGAAACCTTGTTCTAAAATCAAAACATGGTAACTGTGCTATGCAGAATCTGAAAAGAATGAGATATTTTCATATGTTCTGTCTTCAAAATTTTGTTCAGCCTCACATGGTTAACTTGCAAAATTTCGAACTCAGAGCTCACATACTATATCAATATAGTATTAAATATCTATTATGGCCTAGTGTTAAAAGATACACAATGAGTAAGGAACAAAAACTTCAGCCCTGAAAACCTAACAGATATTGCCTGGGGATGGGTAAAATATGACAAACTCACAAAACGATATAAAATAGAGCCACAGGCTTTAAATCTATAAGGAGCTCTGGATTCTTGGGTTTAGGGGATGAAATGGTGGCTTCTGTAGATGAGTATGATTTGGATCCTGAAAAACAGCAATCCTTCCTGATTGTGGCAAGAGGGATGGACACACTTCCTCTCTTATAGTCAAATATTATTATTATTGAGATATTTCTGGCTAATAGTGATATTATCTATCATTTAACCAAGTTAATGTTAATTTGACTGTCAATTAGATTAACAATTGATGGCTTCCATTTTATAGCAACAACTTGCTCTTCTGGTATTAACAAGCATGTGGTAAATTATGAAATATGTGATAAACAGTGTTGGATATGTAAAGGGTATTTTCAGTTCATGGTCTTGGCTCAAAGATAGACTATTGACGTTCAAGTCAGAGAGTCAGTTTGATGGAAAAGAAAAAAAGTCAAGGATAAGCACACTGAAGTCAGGGAAAAATAAATCAGCTACTGTAAATTTTACAGGGCACCTAAGATAAGTGAGTATGGTGTTCATTGTGGCCAATGATTGATTGTATCTAGTATGCTCAAGAATGCAAACAATCTCTACCTAAAATGGTAATAAGATGGTACTAACTAGTGTTCTAAATCAGGCCTGATGGCGTGGTGGGAGGTTAATTGTGCTTTGCAAAATTTGCAAAGCCCTGGTTATGAGTTGGGCTGCTAGTCGCAAGGCAAGGAGTTTGAATCCACTAGCCTCTCTGCAGATGAACAATGAGGCTGTCTATCTATAAACAGTTACAGACTGGGAAACACAGAGGTAGCTTTATTTTGCCCTACAGTGAGTAAGAGAGTGAGTGAGTAAGTGAGAAAGTGAGTGTGAATGAGAGTTCTAGAAGAAAACAATTACTTCCTTTGTGGCTATTTGGTGACCAAACTGGTGATTAAAGTATAAAGATTAATGCCATTGGATTCTTTTGATAAATGCGGTTTCCCCTACAAATTATCTTATAGTTGTCTTTATTATTTTATAATATGACTTTTTAATTATGGCTAGTTTTATAACATTTCTTTTCACTAACAGTATACTTTTAAAAAATCATTTTATTAGGGGATCATACAACTCTTATCACAATCCAGACATACATCAATTGTGTAAAGCACATTTGTACATTCATTGCCCTCATCATTCTCAAAACATTTGCTCTCCACTTAAGCCCTGGGCATCAGGTCATTTTTTTCCCTCCCTCCCCGCTCCCCCCTCCCTCACGAGCCCTTGATAATTTATAAATTATTATTTTGTCGTATCTTGCCCTGTCCGACGTCTCCCTTCACTCACTTTTCTGTTGTCCGCCCGCCAGGGAGGAGGTCACATGTAGATCCTTGTTTCCCCTTTCCAATCCACTCTCCCTCTACGCTCCCAGTATCGCCACTCACACTACTGGTCCGAATTTTCTGTTTCCAGTTCCTATCTGTACCAGTGTACATGCTCTAGTCTAGCCAGACTTGCAAGGTAGAATTTGGATCATGATGGGGGTGGGTGGGGTGGACGATTTAGGAACTAGAGGAAAGTTGTATTTGTCATCGTTGCTACATCGCACCCTGACTGGCTCATTTCCTCCCCGAGACCCCTGTGCCAGGGGATCTCCAGTGGCCTACTAATGGGCTTTGGATCTTCACTCTGCACTCCCCCTCATTCACTATGGCAAGATTTTTTGTTCTGATGATGCCTTATACAGTATACTTTTACAAAAATGATGTTAATATAGTTCATATTCATTGCAATATAATTCAATCATAATCAAGTCAGTTATATGGTAAAGTCAAATATACCCACATGTAGGATTTACATAAAATATAACAAAACTCAGAAATATTAATCATAAAATAAAAAGACGGAACGCTGATAAGAGAAAAATCAAATTACTTCAAAGAACAAAATTGAAAACACAGGTAAACGATCTTCCAATTGTGCTAGAAAAACTTTTCTGTAACCATTATTAAAGGTTAATAATTAACTTTATGTTCCCTCACTTAGGTAAAAATGTGTCTACTATAACATAAAATGCATTTCATTTTCCTTGCTGAAATAATCTCTAGGTGGAATTATTAGGCAACTTTCACAACAACAACAAAACAATGTATGGAAAGTGAGACCATTTTGGGCTGCTAAGAAATTAACTAATCAACAATGACTAAAGAGACTAAGAACCCAGCAAGCAACCAAAAAAAGCATGGATATATATAAAAATAAACAAAAACCTCTCCCTTTAATTAAGATAACTCATGAGTAAAGTTTATATGTATTTGTATATTTTGTAGACTAACTAAATAAAAAAGTTTAATTAGTTACATGCAAAACTCAGTAAAATTTAAATCAGTACTTAAAATATGAGCAACTAAAATTTTAGTGTGGTAGTTTTTTGATAACTAGTGATTTTGAACTCTAGTATTTTTCAGAGGAAAAAAATGATGTAAAATAAACATACACAAGAACCTTCCTTATTTTATAAAATGTTATAATATATACATGTGCAAATATGCACAAGAAGTTGATAAGTGGAAAATAACAAAATTTATTACTCTCAAGTGCATGTAGACTTAATTAGAGAAAAAGATTAACAAAAAAGTAATTATGTACATTTCTAGCATTAATCTCTTTTAACCTTATTTAATGGCAGGATCTAATTACTGCTACCAGAGGGAATGTAATAGAGCAATTAACAGGGTAGGAGAAATCAAGTTACATTTTTCACATGCCCTTTAATGTTATTTCCCAATACTAGGTGCTTGTATGGAAGCCCTTTAACTTATTTAAACCTACTCCAAATACGAACTCCATTTCATATGAGAAATTAAAAAAAAATTCATTTTGATTTTGACAATGACAGTGCTAACTTTGGAAATACTGTTATTGTCACACTGTAGCTAACAGAACATGCTACTAGCGCAGGACTAGAAAATGCACAAACATTAATTCATAGAAAGAATGATACAATGGAGCTTAGTAGTAACAAAACAGATTATGTAGATGATGGTGGTTACTCAGGATCATGACTTAAGTGACTCATTCTCACTTAAGAGCATTTTTGGACAACTCAAATTTGTGCCTTAGCGAAACAAAGTTTCAATGTCATGTACAGTAAAGAGGGATCCAAAACTCTACTACAGTTTGGGAAGGACAAGAATAAATCCTAAATTAACCTCAAAGATACTTTTTTGTGGCACAAATAAGTAGGCTACTTGTTAATTTTTTTCCTCTAGCCCAAATTATAACAGGTGGAAAGAAAGGAGACATTCAAACATTAATATTACCTTAAGGTCTTCTACTCTTGGCCAAGAAAAAGGGGGTATAACAAGTCAGATCAATTTTATATTTGAATATACATATATTACGACTTCAAGTGACATAGCTTGGTATTTACTTTGCCTTTTATTTAAAGCTGTTTTACTATGATGTCCTATGGTATGCTTCTTTTGAATTAGTCATGCTTATAGGTTACAGTGTTTTTTTTTTCCCTGACAGTTTTGGGAAAACTCTTTGTCTCCTTATGGGAATTAAAAGGAAAATTATTCGATCTTTTTAATCATATCCTAACTTTCTCCTACCTTTTCTACTTTGTATCTTCCATCTTCTTATTTTTCTGTGCTTCAATTTTGATATTTTCTATTAGGCTAGCTTCTGCTAGTCTAATATGTTAAATTTATTGTCTTAATTTAGCAAATCCTACGTTTTATTTTCAGTTTTAAAGTGTCCAATTTTATACTTTTTGTAGAATTCAGTTCTTTATTGAAATTATATTAACACTTAGCTCTCACTTAAGTTAGTTAAAATTTTTAAATCCCTATCTAATTATTGAGTATCTGTATCACTTATTGATCATTGGTTCACTAATTTGTTTGTTCTTTTTTCTTGAATTTTGATTAGTTCTGGTCTTGTCTTCTGGCATATTTGGTAAGTTTGTAGTAAGCACTAACCAGCAGATATGATAAGCAGTAGAAGCTCAATAAATATTCCTCCAGGGAAGATTTAATTCTCGCCTAGCAGGCAGAATAGAGAGAAACCACCATGATCCAATCTGGGATTGAGATGGCCTAAAACTGAGTTGTGACATTTGAAAATTGTTCTATTTCTAGCTGTTCTATCTCTGGAGCATAGTGAAATGTTGTAATATTTAATAGAACTCCACTTCCATTGTGGCTACTGAACACCAAATACGTAACAGCTCTACGAGAATGCCAAAACTCTGCTTGATACTTTAGCTACATAGCACTTAAATCAAGCTTGATTTCTTGGCCTCTCCAAGAAAGACCATGGCATATGTCATGAGGGAAAAAGCTGTCCAGAATGCTTCTGTTTCCTAGTTGTTCCTGGTTGAGACTGCTGTTAACTCTAGGCTTTCATTTTCTGCTCTTTGGCATGAATTGAAAAAACCCTAAAAATATATGAGAGGCAGCCCAGCATCCTATAGTATGTTTTCTGTTTCTCTAGAATTTTTGTCTTTTAAGTTCTGGCTGTTTTTTCCCCCTGCAGTACCTTGAAGTAGTGGTATCCTATAGCTGCCTTGTGAACTGGTCGAAAGCAAGGCTTGGTCTAAAACAAGCTATAGTATCACAGTTGAGAAGGGTAGTTCCTTTACTTACATTTTTGTCATATTCTAAAATTCATCGAAATAATTTAATTCTTGCTAAAGAAATTTAGTAATGTCTAAGAGGAAATACAACCAAAGGAATAAAAACTTTTGTTACCAGAAGAAAAGTTAAAGCTCAGCGACATTTTAAAAGGCTGAGACTTTTTAATTTATTTTTAATAAACTGAAATATGAAATACTTTATGTAAATATCAAGTGTTATACCTGGGCTTTTATCAAATAGTAACTCCTGTTGATAATACAAATCCAGTGCATCCTTCAGATTAGTTTACCACATGTACTCTGAGATATGAATTGATAGTCTAATTATAGGTAAAAATTTAAAAGCCATAGGAATCAAAGCACAAAGATCACCTTCCATAAATACACGTAGTGATCTGGTTCGCTTCATCATACCTTGTCAGTTTCCGTTTCCTTTTGGCAGCAGCAGTCATTGTCATGTAGGATGGCACTGTGCTCGGTTTTGTTGAGAGTGAGGAAGGGTCAAGCCTGGATAATAATAATAACAGTTAAAAAAAAAACCCTTGGATTTACACTGTAGAGAACAAATAAGGCAGCTCTATTTATAATTTAGAAAACCAATTTGGTATTCATAGAGAAAGAAAAACCCTTTTACATCTAATACTTTCCTCACTTAAACCAGGTTTCTTTCATCTATTTTTATATAATAGTCTAATAGTGTTGCTATCATAAGATTTGTTTTTCTAGCAGTATACAATAGCGATCGTAGTTTATTCCACTTTTTGTTTAAGATTCGGTGTGATTATACAAATGAAATGAGAATATGTTCATTTGGGTGACAGGAAGTCAACCTTACCTTAGATATATGATTATTTTAGAGTAAAATGACGTATGTGGAACATCAATGCAAACTGTGGCATTCTCTCCAGTGAAGACATTAAAGAATAAATATAACAATCCTTTGATGATGACTTATATTATTTAACTTTGGTTTGTTAAGAACATACTAAAAATATGCAGGCCAGGTCTCTCTGAACATTTATAAGGGTTAATAGACTTAAGACACCAAATTTAAGAAATTTACACATTGACTGTTTTGTCATCAAGACAGCATACTTAGGGGGCATAACAAGTTTGTAGAAAAATCCCATTATCCTCTAATTTGTCCATGAACTCTTCCTATCTAAGGAAGCAAAAGAAGGAAACATTCGAAGGCTGTGCTAAAAAAAGAATAAAATTGAGAAATTGGTTTCCTGTACCTTTGTAAAATGCCGTTGTTATAGTTTGGTAGTGACCCTTTTTCAGGCAATTCATTCTTGACGCTTTTGATGTCCTCACATATAGTAAACGTGCAGTCCAAATCCTTATGCTCACATTCTGGAAGCCTATCAACAGGAGTATCTACTTCGCACAACATTTTCATAGAATTATTACTGTTTATATTTGAGTTTATTGCTTGAGAACTCAGACTATGTGAAGATGGTTTTATTAAGGTCCCTGTAGATGGAGTTTGTAAAGCTTTTCTACAGTCCTCTGGAGTATATACAATAGGCTGAAGTTCTTTGTTGAAAGAATCATTGAATTGAGTATTTTTAGACAGTACAGATTTTGGGATAATTTTTGCTTCCAAAGGAGAAGACATCAGTTTTCTCCGAGTTCGTTTTTGTGGAGGAATTTTAAGTGGCTTAGATTCACTTGAAGAAGTGCCTGTGTTGACAAAATTAAAAAAAGAAGATCAACAATGGGGAGGAAGTAGTTTTCTAATAATCAATCACTTAAAAACTAAACAAAAATTCACTAATAATGAAGAATATTTTTATCAATTGATATGACTGAAAGGAAATTTGAATGAAAGGGAAAAGGGACTGTATAACTTTAAGTACTATTAAAACACTTGTAAAGGATTATATAACACAAGACATTGCTAAAATCAATATTAATTTAAAGATAAAGCTTTCTTGAGCTACCAGGTAATCATGAAAACAAATTTCCAACCAATTAGAGCAAAATTCACATGCAATTTCTTAACTATCATATTTGATTTGGGTTTAAGATAATAAAGGAAAATATGCAACATTTTATAGGCGCCCAATTAACTTGCTGAATTGTAAATTATCACCTATTTGTTAATCTGAATGACTAGAAATGGCAGTGACCAGTAAAATCCCAAGTGAATGAAAGAATTCTGTTACTTTCTCAGGTATGATTGCTCATCAGGCAATCTAGTTCCTTAATCTCTCTTCTAAATGATATGTAATTTACAGGTTTACAAATAATTTAATATCAAAATTAAATCAATACACCGTAATTTCACTTCTCTTTGAAAACCTCTGAGTACTTTAACTTGGACTCTTCACCACTCTACAAGTGCAGTTCTCCCAGATGTCAAGTGCTATCACTAAGTTTCGTGATCTCTATTCCCAGCTCAATCTTACAACTCCTGCAGCTTGAGATACCAGAAGTAAATCAATCCCCTTACGGACAGCTGATACTTGATAATGAGCAGAAGTCCATTAGATGGAAAAAGAGGGTCTATTCAACAAACAGTGTTGGCAGAGCTGGATGTCCATTTGCAGAAAAATGAAACCGAATCCACACTTCACAACATACACCAAACTACTCAGGATGGATTGAAAATCGAAAACTATAAAGATCAGTTAAAAAAAAAAAGGAGGGTCAAACTTTCCCACTACCTTTTAGATGATTCCAATACATAGTGGCTTTCACAGGGTTTCCGAGACTGTAATAAGGGATGAGACAGTTCTAGCTTTCTCTTGCCTAGCAGCTGGTGGATTTCAAATTACCAGACATTCTGTCAGCAGCCCAATACTTAAATCTATAGCACCAGCCGGGCAAATGAAGGAACCTTAGTCTGAGGAACATACACAGCTTATGAAACTAACTAAAAATGCACGAACAGCCAAAGATAAACTAGATGGGACCTCCTAAAAATGACACACATAGTTGCATTAAGACTTCTGAGTAAAGACGAATCTACAGACTGAAAAAACATTTAAGGAATGGTATATTTGACAAGACTAATAGCTAAAATTTATAAAAAATGTCAACACCATATTAACAAAAAAGACAGTCCAGTGAAAAAATGGGCAGAGAGCACAAATAGACATTTCACCAGTTAAGATCTTCAGGAGGCCAACAAACATAAAGATAAGTTCCCGGTTAGAAATACAGAAGATACGCTCTCTCCTCGTCCTCCCGCTCTCTGCTTGGACCTGGCCGTGGAGATCCTGGCCTTTGGAGGACTTCTGATGTAATACTGAAGGTTCCAAGGTTAAAGCATTTGGCTACTAAGCAAAAAGCCAGCAGTTTGAACTCACTGGTCTCTTTGAGAGAGAAAGACGTGGCCATGTGCTTCTGTGAAAAGTTACAGCCTTGGACTCTTATGTTGCTGTCCTACACTGCCCGATAAGAAGTGGTGAGTTATGAATGAAAAAACCTGGAAAAATTCAATAGCAAAAAGGCAAATTCAGGTAAAAATAAAATAATAAGGGCAAAAACTTGAATAGACATGTTCTCAAAGAAAATATACAAATGGCCAATAAGCACACAAAAAGATGCTCAACATCATTAATCATTAGGAAAATACAAATCAAAAAGACAATGAGATACGATTTCATACCCACTAGGACTAAGGCATACTTGATCCAAGATGAAATATTTTCAATCACCTCATATGCATGTGAAAGCTGGACAATGAATAAGAAAGACCAGAGAATGGATGCCTTTATTCATGGTGTTGGCCAAGAATATTGAAAGTACCATGGAGTACCAAAAGAATAAACAAGTCTGTCTTGGAGGAAGTACAACCAGAATGTTCCTTAGAAGTGAAGAGAGCAAGCCTTTTTCAGGAGAGACCAGTTCCTAGAAAAGGACGTCCTGTTTGTTAAGGTGGAGAGTCATCAAAGACAGGAAGACCTTAGAAAAAGGTGGACTGATACTGTGGTTGGGACAATGGGTTCAAACATAACCGCTGAGGATGGTACAGGATTGGACAGTATTTCATGCTGTTGTACATAGGGCCACTATGACTCAGAGCCAATTCAATGGCACCTAACAATAGAACAAGATGGCTATTAGCAGACAACGACAATGTTGGTGTTAATGGATCTAACTGTGCCCCCTCCCCCCCCCCCCAAATCAAGCATTGTTGAATCCTACCCCTCATACCTGCGAGTGCAGTAAGAGGAAACCAGTTTTCATTGTTATGCTAACCCCCCCCCCCAACCAGATAAATTCCCGGTTAACTGTTCAAGCCAAAAAACCAGACTCACTGCCATCGAGCTGATGCAGGCTCAGTGGCCCTGCAGGACAAGGTAGACTGCCCATGTGAGTTTTCACATGGTTGTAGGAGCAGAAAGCCTGTCTTTTTCCTGCAGGCTGGTAGTTTCAAACTGCTGACCTTGTTGATCACAGCCCAATGTGTAACCACTACGCAAATCAAAACAACAATGATGTCATTTCACTCCAGCAGTAATCACAAAGTTCAATTAGACAGAAATCAACAATTGCTGGAGAGTTTGCGAAGAAATTGAAATGCCTATGCACTGCTGGTCGGGGTGTAAGATGGTACAACCACTGTGGAAAATGGTATGGTACTTTCTTAACAAGCTGGAAATAGTAATACCATTTGATCCAGTAATTCCACCACAAGGCATGTGTCCTAGAAATAAGAGCTGTGACACAACAGATGAATGCATTCACGTTCATCATTACATTATTCACAACAGCACAACCTAAGTAACCATCCACAGAGGAACGTCTAAACAAACTATGGCACATATATAAAATGAAACAGCAATGCTAACGAAGAACTGAATCTGCGAAACACCTCATAACGTAAGTGAACCTAGAGGATACCGTGCTGACTGAAATAAATCTATCACAAAAGAACTGATAATGACCAAGGATGAGTAGCTAAAGGAGGGAAATCACTAACTAGAGAGTAGACACAGGTGAAGAGAAAGGCTATATACAATAAGAGGGAGGTTAGGCCGATATGACCAAGGCAAAGGAAGACACTGAAAGGTATATAAACCCTAAAAGAAACAAAGGTAAACACTATTACATATTCAGTCATGCAATAACAATAAAAACAATAATATTTGGGAGTAGATACATAAGTAGACATGTAAGCTGAACAAGTATGGAAAGGCAAATGGGACTATACTGTGAGTATAGGCAGGTTTAGGAGTCCTGGAACGTAGTGGTTATATATTGGGCTGCGAACTGCAAGGCCTGAAGTTTGAAACCACCAGTCACTCTGCAGGACAAAGATAGGGCTTTCTTATTCTGTCAACAATTACAGTCTTAAAAACTCACAGGAGAAGTTCTATCCTATCTGATAGGGTTGCTAAGAGTCTGTATCAACTCAATGGCAATGAGTTCGTCTTTTTAGTTCATACAGAGGTTTGGCACAGGCTATTTCTAAGTGCTGCAAATACTATTTCCCAGTACATAGAAAAGCATATAGAAGGCAACGTTATGAAAACTTATCCATGATCACTTTATAGAAATGAGTCAATGGGCTTAGGAACTTGGGACTTAGTTCCTGGGAGACATCTAGGCCAACTATATAATTCACAAAGCCTACATCCTACTTTGGTGAGTAGCAACTGAGGTTTTTAAAAGCTTGTGAGTGGCCACACAACTATTCTTTCCTGGTCTGGAGCAAAGAAGAGTGAAGAAAATCAAAGACTCAAGCAGGCAATTAGCTCAAAGGACTAATGAACCATGTGAGCCTCATTCTGCAATATTGAGCTCAGAAACCGAGATGCTGTCCAATCACTACTACAGACAGCTCTGTTTGGGACCACAATAGGTGGTTCTAGACAGTGTGGGAGAAACTTGTAGGACAAAATTTAAAACCTTAAAAACAAAAATAAAACCACTGAGGGTACTTTTTTAGCCAAGCAACATATAGGCCTATACTGTGAACACGAAGAATTGTGAGAAATATTTCAAAAAATATTAGCCCTATGAGACTAAAAGGTATTTGCCAAAACAAAATTCAGAAGGTGGAAGGGCATGAATGGAAACGGAACACTCTGGGAGAAGTGGGACGATGTTGTTACGTTGGGACTGCTACTAGTAGGAAATGAAATGCGCACAAATTGTTACCTTAAATATTAGCTCTTCTGCTGCCTAATAAATACACAGATTTCCTGAAGGAATCATAGTTGGCACCCTAGTCTTACAGTACGCACTCTTTAATTTTAATTACCCTTTTGCCATTACTTTCTCAATCAACTGGGTCTCAAATGACTAGATTTGTACACTTTCCCCTGCATTCTGCAACTTCCACCAATTCTTTCACTTTTAAATTATAATTAAACATAATTATATTATTCTTTTGAATAAAAACTTTTAGTAATCTTTAAAAAGAATATCCATATCTTTAATAGTTTCTAGTCCAAAAGTAAGGGGCAAATTGTCTTGTTTAAAAGGAAGTGTGTGCTCCTACACTATCAGATATGCTTCTCCAACACCTTTTCCTACTGCAGAAAGTGATTTTACTTTTCACATAAGAAACTGAATAATGTACTTATCTTGCATTTTAAATTATTTTTTCCTGGTCTATTTCCTTCTGGTGAACTTTGCAGTGTCTGCCATTACGTGTCGTTGCTTGCAATGTGTTGTCTAGGGAAGGAATTATAACGTATATTTTTGCCAGTTTTGTAATCATGAAG